ACTACTACGTCGCATATGCATTACTATCAGATGTTCGTTAGGACGCATACATCCGATCCAAAAACAAATGAATGTGAAGAAACAAATTTTCCACTGCCCCTGCCTTTCGCCCCTATCTCCCTCTCTCGCCCTTCCTCCCTCTCCCCTATCAATCCCCCTCTATCTCGCTCGCTGTTCTTTTTCCTTTTTCTCAGCCTGTCGGTCTATCAATCTCTATTTTTCCCTTCCAATCTTGCTCTCCACCCTCTCACATTCTCTCTGTACCGCCCTATTTCTCAATCTCCTTATCCCTGACCCACGCTCCCCTTGTGGAAATATTACAATTATTACTAAGTAAAATAAATCATTTGATAATCCATCTTTACGCGTAACAGTGATTACTTGTCGACAGTGATTTACATAAATTTTTGTTCGCATATGCGCGTTTACAATACGCAATACTCGACCATAGGTATGTGGCTCCGGACACATATACTGACCAGTTATCGCATCACCATCACGTGACTAACTGTTTGCGAAGAAGGGGCGGTTCGACGACACATGTTTACACACATCATGATTGACACGTGTTGCTACCAAGGTTACATATGTAGACTATTTTCTGGGCAAAATCTCTTTTTTTGTGATATCGCTAGATCTTGTTTCACAGTTCACTGCGTAGACCCAACGGGTGGAGGCGGGATGACCCGTGGCGTTTGTAAACATTCATAAGTTCTGCCTGAAGACCAAAAACGCGAGAAAGCAAGGGCTATATGTATCGTATCAAGAGTAGATAATAACACATGTGTTATTATCTACTCTTGATCGTATGTAGGTTCTAGCTACGCGGCTAGGTACACCTATTCTATCGTATAGGTGCTATGCTCTATGCGCCACATTGCTATAAATCTCATCAACACCTGTTCGTCTTGCTATGCCACCCGGCGAAGAAAAGGTTACCGATAAGTGGTAATCCATTGAGTCTATAATCGTACGTACCCCGAAAAGGGCAACGCTGTAAGATCACGAACGATACCGTTTCCCTGGGTATTCTTGATGACATGTCGACAGTATTACTAATGTATTCCTCGCAGGGTAAACCCAACACAAGTATATGTTACACAACGACGTGACTCAGTGATTCTCCGACCCTCATGACTAGTATTTAGTATCCTCATACGCACCTTTATTTCGATATCTACTGTCGCGTTTTGATTCCGTTGGTGGTTGGCGAAAAAAGAAAGGACAAAATATATATTATGACACATTACAGTCAGCAGGATTGTATTATGTACAGATCTACGCCAAGTAATAGATGAGTATAATATGAATTTCTGCCGTAATCCCTCTACCTGCAGTATTTGCGCAAGTGTGTCGAGTGAGGGAGGGTTATTTACCAACAGGCAACAAGTGCGAAGCGCAGCGCACTGTCAGTTAGCACCAGCAGTTAGTTCACGCCGTCTCATACAATCAAGAGCAGATAAAGAAAGCCTTCTTTATCTGCTCTTGATACAATGCAAATACGCTATACGTTGAAGGTGCTACGTCACTATTCACAAGATTAAGATATCTCGGCAGATTGTATGCGGTGACACCAGTTATTCCCATCATTATAAAATCAGCGCCCGCTCGCGATGGCCGATACTGAATGCGTAGTCAATCGACGTGTATAAGTGCATGTGCACTATGCCAAGTTACGTTGTTCGCCTCTCTCTCGTAGTGGCCGTCGTTATTGCCTTAGCGGATTGTCAACAGGCAAAATACCATGGGTATGTTGTCATTTTATCAATCAATGTATGGGTGTATGTATTCGATGCGTAGATCTTGCCTCGTCTTTCAAACATTCAATTAAATTATAATTGAACGTAGCACGCGAGGATCTGCAATGCTAGAAATGTGAGGTCATGATAAAAATTTATACTAGATGGGTACGCTGCTTTATACTCTGTTTGTATAATGAAGTTGATGTGTCGTAGGCATTGTTTAGTATATGGCGTAGTGATTTAGCATGTCCGTGCGTTACTTGTTTGTAACAAGGAGTAAAGCCTGATTAAGAGGTAAATCTTCTATGTGGGGAATTAGTGCACGTCTGCCGGCGTTTATCTGACGTTTATTTATACGGAAACGCGATTTAGTCCCAAATATTTTCATACATTACATGCAAGCCTTAAACATTACGTTGGCAGACGATAACATTATAGAAGGTCTACCCAAGCGCCAATAGTTCCTAGAATAAAAACACTATTGTTAATTTCATAAAATAAGATTTTAATTAATCAAACTTTAAACCTAATCAAACTTTAAAGGTTTGATTCTTATGTCAGCTGAAAACCTGATGAAGAGATGTACATCTCGAAAGCTCGTTAATTAAATTTTAAACACCCTTAACCTACTATTTGAATTTGTTATATATATATATATATATATTGATATATTGATTGTGTTTCGCTTTTTTTTATAGCTATCAGGTGTGGCGCATTATCCCTAATACACCTGCTGAACTTGAATACTTGAGTCGGTTGGAACGGTTTGAATTTAAGCTGGACTTCTGGAGTGATCTCAGTGGCATTAACAAACACGTGGATATTATGCTGCCGCCTGATTGGTTAGCCAGTCTACTACACAGGATGAAGCATGATGTCATGATTGATGACGTGCAAAGGTATTGCCTATATCTAAAGTAGCATCATATCGCAGGAAAGGAACGGAATGAACGGAATAAACGATAATTAAGTCTAATGATGGTTTTTTGGGATAAGTAACAATACAATAATAAAAAAATGATCCTGCGAAATAGTAGTCCAGTCATAAAGTGCCAAATAAGGCCTCTACCGGGAAATCGAGTGAAACAAGCTGGATTCTTCACTAATGTGTTGGTATTGGTCCATATAAACCCCCCCAAAAAGCTACAAAATTTTCGTTGGTCGGAAACTTTTTTACGGGCCACGCCCTTTTTCCGATTTTCGCGATTATGGGAAAATTGTGTAAATCTTACCTAAACACTTTATAGTCCTGTTATACATGTTAATAGGGGTATTTTGGGGCGCGGAGTCGATTCCAACAGTCAGTTTATTCATAAATTGAACGGTTAAGGCTTAATTGACCAATTAAGCTCAATTAAGCTCTAATTTTATATAGATCTTTCTATATTACTCTAATATCACTCTTGAATTATTATAAGATTTATTATAATAAAATACAGATTATAGTGCCGCAAATAAAGTGCAAAAGTACACTCAGTACAATATATGCTTGCTCCTCCACCGCCCGTAGCTATGCTTTAAAAAATATAAAAGGGGCACTTCGTGGTCCAACTCACCGACAACCACTGGGCAGGCATCTCTCCTGACAGGGCCATTGAATCAACGTTAATGGCAGGTGTGTACATATTCTTAAAGTGATACTAAGCGGTGTCAATACTCATAACCTTGCAGTTGCACTGGAATTTACTACGAAACACAATAAACTGATACAAGGTAACACATAGTTTTTCAGGATTGAAGGGCTCTACAGGTTTGACTCGTGGGCGGGGGCTAACCGAGATGACGCAGCTGGTCTGGGCTCTCTCGAGGCCTGCAGTTATCAAGCTGGACATGAAGCTCAAAGAACTGACGGGTTGCAGGCACTCCACTTCAGACCAACACGAAATTAAGCAAGTCAGACCAGCAGCAGTCGCTCGTAACACCCTGGATATGAAGAAGCTAGAGGAGTTCTGTGGAAGCAGGTTCCTCCTCGATGTTGAGTCAATGAAGCACTGTCATTAGCACTGATTTAAAGAACACTGCATCCGGCTTGATTGCTCCGACTTATGTATCGGCTCACAAAGCAGTGGAAATAAGCAAGAAAGTACTGGTTTCTATGGAAGGGCAGAGCCCACTAACTCCTGACAAAGAGTGGTGCAAATGCCCATCGGTCAAGACTGTCAGTTCTACGATTGACTCGGAGCTGATCTTGTCAACGATTGTGTGTCAATCTGTACTGATGAAGAGGTAGAGGGTGGCATGCGGATTTGATGCTTGCCCATTTTCCACCCTCGATCTTCAACGATAACCGTACCCCTAGTAGAACGTGTCGCCAAAAGCTGACCCTGGGCAGCTTATAAAACAGACAACAGTGTGTGGTGAGATTGCCAGAGATAGCTGAAGATAGTAGTCAGATGGATGGCTCTCCTGCTTCTACTACTGTGCGTGCGAGAAACAGGGACAACCTAAACGGAGAAGGTTGGTGGCAGTTGGCTATATAGTATCACCTCATGTGTAAGAGCACTTCTTCCATCCCGAAGACACTTACATCATTCTTTGATGAATACCTGCAACCCAGTAATAAGTAATGGTCAACACTAAGACAGATGCCGGTAATCATCTCTATAGAAATAGACAATAGCGGTTTACCTAGATGTGTGTGGACTGTGGGGGTAAGCGGAGCTGCTGCTCTCAAATCTAAAAAATACAAACAGACAAGTTCATTGGCTTGTGAGTGGAGGGGCTAGAAAGTGGAAGCTCTTACCACGTTAGCTCAGGTGTGTAAGCTTGACTGCAGACTATATTTTGTACAGAAAGCAATGGAGCTCTCTGAGATAAGCTATGTGTGGTGGTCGCCGAGGACACTGACATCTTAGTTATGATGCTCCACCACATGCGCTCACGCTAAGCACTGGCGTATATATCTAAACACAATCGTGGGAACACTCGATGCTCGGATTTTAATCGTATATCTTGGCCCAAGCGCCCTCCCGAGCCTTATCACTCCAAGCACGCTCTTTTTCTCAATCATTCAATGTCGGTGGTGTTAGACAACGACATCGATCAGCTTTTCTTTGGCTTCGTGCTTAAGACGCGGTTGTTCAAGCTCCATAGATCCTGGAGAAGATGACAGCGAGCACGAGCCGTAATTCTACTGTAGGCAGGAGTCAACAGACTGACTTGTTAAGGCAGGAGTGAGATCATTTCCAGATGTACACCAAGTCAACAGATCCCTCCTTTGCTGTCACTAGACAAGTTGCCGCCACATAGCTCTTCCTAATGCTTCTGCACATAGAAGAAAGGAAGCTTGTACAGCAGAAAAAGTTGACACGACCAGACGGCCTCCTCCACCTCTCAGCTGCGAAGTACCACTGTATCAGAGTGTACCATCGGGTACAAGAGAGGCTATTTAACACTCTTGACCCCTCAGAATATGGGTGGGTTCTGAACTCCGATGGCAAGTATGGACCCCTCTACACAGACAAGGCAGTGGCACCTCCCAATTTGCTCAGATCCATTAGCTGTGGGTGTAAAACTAACTGCTATTCAAAGCGATGTGGCTGCAAGCAGCTTGACCTCCAGTGTACTGATTTCTGTGGCTGTGACAACTGTGAGAACCAGATTGTAAGTGTAACCGCCAACCAAGAAACCGGAGATGATGAGGAAGATCAAGGATCGGTAGGGGACGCCGAAGAAGATGTCCCAGAAGATTGAATTTTCAAATTTATCGACTAAACTTGCTGTACTATAAGTTATAATATTGTACTAATTATTGTACTATAAGTTATAATATTGTACTAATTATTGTACTATAAGTTAATGACAACGGGCTGAGCCCGTTGTCAGAAACAAAATTAGTCTTAACATTAGTCTTAACAATAACATTTTCTCGTAGACAGTCGACAGCGCTTTGTTTTGTAATGTTATCAAGAAATCTGCTGCGATTTTTCATTCAGGTAACTTCGCAGCGTTTCTGTCGACGGTCTAAAAGAAAAAGTTAATGTTAAGACTAATGTTAAGACCAATTTTGTTTCTGACAACGGGCCCCTGAGTTATGATATATAGGACTATTTTGATAGCTTCGGTTGATTAGGGGACATGCTGTAAGTTAATTTTTTGTACAGTGCATTAGACTTGTTACTCTTCCTGGACGATTGTGATACAATAGTTCTGTTAAAGGACAAATTATATTCTATTGTTTGTATTCAATCAAATTTTATGTGTATGATTCTTTATCGAGTATCTTCGGGTTGTCGAGTTCGTAAAGCTTCATAATCAATATACTTGTTTAAATTTAAACAGTAACGCGTATGATTATTAATGATCAATCTATAACACTTTTTAGAGATAAATCATACTTCTGAGTGTTTAAATAACACCAGAATTCGATCGGGCATCAAAAAAAACCCAGAAAGCATACCTAAAATGCCATATGTCAGAAAACACCGAAATTTTGGTACGCGACTGAGCTTAATTGAGCTTAATTGGTAAATTAAGCCTTAACCGTTTAATTTATAAATAAACTGACTGTTGGAATCGACTCCCCGCCCCAAAATACCCCCTATTAACATATATAACATGACTATAAAGTGTTTAGGTAAGATTTACACAATTTTCCCATAATCGCGAAAATCGGAAAAAGGGCGTGGCCCGTAAAAAAGTTTCCTACCAACGAAAATTTTGTAACTTTTTTGGGGGGGTTTATATGGACCAATACCAACACATTAGTATAGAATCCAGCTTGTTTCACTCGATTTCCCGGTAGAGTGCACTTTATGACTGGACTATAGACTCATAACGTCATTAATAATAATAATAATGGTCATCGATGACTAGTGACTAATTCCTTGTCTTTTCCTCTTCAATGTAGGCTGATAGACACGCAAGCAGAAAGCACAGAGGCCAAGAGAATTTCTGCCCAATCTGAGGCTTATGACCTAACAATATATCACCGTCACAGTGAGGTGAATTTGTTAAAGAATAGTACTTACCGTCAAAAACCCGACTGTTGTAACTTTGCCTATTCATAGTATACAATAGCAATCGAGGTCAAGTGTCATTTTTTACATAAACTAAAACGCGCCAATCGGCCCATACCAGCGCTAACCAAGTCACAAGTAACATGGAATAATAAATAGAAATAATTAAAATGTCGAAAAGGAAATAGCCTAGAACGAAAAAACGATTAACAACATCGACGTTTTCTATAAGGTAACGTAACCTTTTCCACGTCTATAATATTATATTCATATATAGCTAACACACATAACAGGAACAATGAAGACGTTTATGTTATTATCTAATAATATGAACATCTTTTGATACGAAATTAATAAAATAATAAATAATTATTAAATAATATAAATATAAAAAAAAGAAATAGAATAAGAAATAAATAATACGATTCTAATTGATACGAAACTTTGGTAAGAAAACGTTGTCGCTTTTCTAAAGATGACGACGGGATACTCTATGCGGCCGAATACCCTGATATCGCTTCCATCCACAACATAGCACGTCCCTGTTTGCGACAATGAATGTTATTAAGTAAGAGAATGCAGCTCTATGTGCTTGATTAAATCACCATTTGAATTCCTACTGCGCTTTGTAGATTATCCTGTTCTATATAGTCTACGGCATCACACATTGGCATTAAATGAATTGTATTTATACTGCCAAAATTTAGAGCAATTATTCGTCCGTCGTGAAACGATTACAAAACATATCTAGCTCTCACTCGTGAAATGCTTAAGTGTATGCAACGCTTAAACATATTCGCTGGAAGTGTAAAATATGTGTTGGTTCGACTGCACACATGCACTTGTTTAATAAACTATACGTTATAGGTGGGAACCGCACAATCTATAATATTTACAACTTTAAACTACGTATTATTTAGAGTGCATATTTATTACTCTTAGAGTGAGTATGTTACAGGGACAAAAGAAGAGTGCAGTTCACTATGGAAATTTTGTTTTGACACAATTTTAATTAATATCGAAGATTTCAAAACCAACTGGACGACCGAAGCCTATCGTATGGATCGATTCTGGAATACATGCTAGGGAATGGATATCCCCGGCCACAAACCAATACTTCATTCATCAGGTAGGTTACATACAAACTATTGAATTGCATGATGTGAGAATTATGGTACATGCAGTCTTATTATAAGCCGATAACGATTTGGGACACGAAAGGAATACATATGAATAAGCGATATAAATTTGAATCCAACTGAATTTTTTAGTTTCCAAAATTCATATCCGGTAGGCTGCAATTAAATGGATTGTTCTGCTAACTTATTCAAGATTATAGTTTTGCATTTTTTAATTATTATAATTGACGTAAATCGTACACTTAGGTTACTAATGGGCAATTTAACATCAGTAAGAACAGCCGTCAAGTGTTTTCCGCATGACTGTACGTTATTATATATTATTTCTTTATTAGATATAACGAGCACGGAATCATTATTTATCAGATGCCAACTGTAACGGGGCGGTACATCTATAATACGTAAAACGTTTACTTTGTTCGTGTTACGCAGCTGTTGACCAAGTATGCAGAGGACTCGCAAGTTCAGAACTTTGTGGATCAGATTGAGTGGCACATCTTGCCTGTCGTCAATCCAGATGGATATGAATACTCTCACACACGCGTAATTATTAAAATAAACATTTATTCATTCGATCGTTTAATGTTAAACTTTTATTATGCAATCATTTACTACGTCGTGACTGCAATATCGTGAACCTGGTCACCATCAATCGCATCACTGCGCACTGTGATATATTCGTCTCAATCAATGTTAGTGGTAGTACATGAACAAAGGGATCTCTCTATTCATGTACTCCTAATGTTACGGGAGTCCGTGCATCAGAAGATCTAGTGATTTTGTTTTCATGAAAATAGAATCGGATGTGGCGGAAATCGCGTTCTGGGCCTATTCATGGCTGCTATGGTGTGGATCTCAATCGGAATTACGATTTCAAGTGGATGGGTAATTATTACAGGCGGTCATTGTTTTTGCGTATCACCGCAATTTGTCACGATAAGAAGCTAAACATTTTGCAAAATCAATTTTCTTAGAGTTTTCTCGCTAATACATGTCATAATTCGGACGCACATTATTCGAGTTTTCTTTCCACTTATTGTTCATAATTAATTTCATGTGTTTTACAGAGGCATTATTCAAAATCTTATTGTAAGCGTTTGCTTTCCGTTCTATATCAGAGATTGGTGCCAGCAGTCTTCCCTGCTCTGGGACATTTGCTGGCCCAACACCAGAATCCGACATTGAGACGAGGAATTTACGTGATTACGTACTGCCTCTAGCCAAGGATATGAAAGCGTTCATCACTATACACTCCTACTCGCAGCTATTTCTTACTCCATGGGGCCACACCACAGAACTACCGTCGGACAACGATGATGTGGTACTATAATTACATCATCAAAAAACCATTCCAAAAGTGGCTAATACAATAACGTGTTGCCGTGTTGTGTTAGTTCTTGTCACAAAGCTTTAAGAAGTTGTAAGAAGAAATCGCAATGCACGGCAATTGTGAAACCTTCTCTAAACCTACGCATTTATAGATAAATCTGTGAAAGATCTGTGAGCGTGCGTTAACAACAATATTCTGCGCATGCGCAATGATGATATCTGCTGTCATTAAATATCGCATATCGGAATCAATTCGATTGTACATAAACACAGACTCATTCGGTCACCATCGTGGTGTTACCTTTTCAATGGATTGGTTGGCGTTCATATTTTATCCACAGTATAACATTGCTGTAAAGGCTACAGACGCGTTGACATCAATGCACGAAACTGCATACATCGTAGGATCAGCAGCAAATGTTCTGTGTACGCGCACACATCAATTTACTGATAACCTGTTTGCTTCTATTTGTGTGTGTGTTTTTTAGCATGGCTTAGGTGTGAAGGCAACAAATGCATTGACGGCAGTACATGGTACAGAGTACAGAAGTCGATCAGACGCTAATACTTGTGAGTAAACAAAACATTGACGCCAAATGTTTTCACGGATTATTTTGGCAAATGAACATTTTTGGTCAACCGTATTTTGATTTCTTCAGATGTCGTCTGTAAAGGCATGAACTCTTTCTTCAATTAAGCAGAATGCGCCTGCATGCAAGTTGGCATTAAACCAAATATATTTAATTCGTGGGAAAATTGAACTTTTTAAAATTGGCGTGCTTTAGAAATTTTATCTTACTATCTGCATACCAACTGACTCTTTTCATTGGCACAGACGACGTTGAATAAGTGGTTTTAGCAGCTAATGAATATTTTAATATAATCAAAACTGTGCCTGGTGTTTTGGTGCATACATAACTTTTTTAAATTGTTTGTACCCTTCATTTACGAGTAAACCTCTACTCCTAATAATGCCATTAACAGTATGAACCTCCGGGATACATCACGGGCGACTGGGGCTAAGGGCGTTGCCAAGGGTTGAAGGTGGGACACTTACATGGTGGAGTTACGAGATACCGTGAATTACGGGGTCTTTCTGCTCCAGAAGAGCAGATTGAACCGACGTCTGAGAAAATGGGAAGCTATAAAAGTTATGCGCACGTCAGATGCAATTCTAGAGTTCGCATAGAATAGTAATTGCGGTTTAGTGAGGTTGCTTGCATATATCCAATCTCAGCGACGACCCTGGTCCATTGGGAACATAGAAAAGAATACCAAATGAATATTGAACGTATAGATAATCGTGATAAATTTTGGGTGGCGAGTACGCAGGATACATATCATAGGGAAAGCCTAAAAGAAATGGTAATTAGAACGGCGTCATAAACTGGTGATCTCTGCCGATGTATACTAAGGAACTTATTTCCAGCTGAATTTGATATATTATCAAACTTTGCTTCAAGTCGACTTTGGCTTATTGGCATTTGTAAACCTTTGTTAGGTCTTCGTCAAATTAGACTGAAGTGCGTATAGTTGGATTCCGATTGTTTAGCGGCATGAAGATTATGTGTCACGCGTTGTTATAGACCACAGAGGAACTAAAAATAATGACCCTAATTTATCGTGTATGGGAAATTTCATTGTTGGCGCGCAATGGTGTTTCACAGATATCTAGGGTAGCTTGGACCCGTACATTGGGTAATGTTTAATCCAATGTTCATATCGCAGGAGTTAATTGCATGATAATATTCTTGGTTTTTTCGTGACAAAATAAAAGTTTCCTTTGAATTTGTCGTGTAACACAGAATGTTCTCATATGCGTAGCATTTTTAATTTTACATGGAAAAGTACAACCAGATTGTTACTTTTTCTGTCGTGCACGTGGTTTACGCAATATCAAGGTTAAAATTAAATGAATCAAATATTAAAGTAATATAATTAAAAGTAGCTTCCAAATTGTGAGTAAAATTCATGAATATAGATTAGCGTGTATAATTTATTGACGTCGTATCCCCCCACGATAACTGCCGCTGAATATATATATATATATATATATAAGTCTGGATGCTTGAATATATATAACCCGCTTCTGCACAACGTAGTCGAGCACTTTAGTCAAAAACTGCAACAACCAAAGATATGGAACAGATAAGATTCAACTACTCTATGAAGAATATACCTATACCTTCAAGAAATACCTATCTGAAAAGCCTAATCAAAAAAATCGAAAGCGTCATCAAACGAATGAGATGGAAAGCCTTATTTTTTGAAAAAAACACCGACGAATAAGATCAGCGAACCGACGACCTTGACAACAAATTCGGATTCAAATCTAGAAAATGCCCGCCGCAAAATGAAGACTTAAACAAGTTTGAAGCAGATCTACTAGATATGGTAAAGAACATTCAATTAAGAAAAATGCACAACGAGTTCCAGAAGCAACTAAACAAGGACATAAATAGGATAAAAAGCTCAACGAAAGCCTTCATCCATGCTGACAAAACAACAAATTTGTCGACAAAATCCAGTACGATAAACTAGTACAAAACAGCATAACCGCAACCTACAAGAAAGTAAATCAGAACGCCATTAACACCACCAATCAAGAAAAAAAAAGCATAGCAACCGAACTCTACATCGATGACAGAACAGAACGCATAGCAGAAAGACTTCATATTATTAAAGGATCACAAAGATAATTTCTCAAATAACCCGATCTGTAGATTAATCAACCCAGCCATGAGTGAAATAAGACGCGTAAGCAAGTAGATTCTCGAGAAAATTAACACCGATGTGAGAAATAAAACAGCACTTAACCAATGGAAAAACTCGTCATCCGTAATCAACTGGTTCACGAACATACCCAACAAGCAGCAGCACACCTTCGCCGTATTCGACATCGAAAGCTTATACACCTCCATATCTGAAGAACTACTATCCAGCGCAATCCACTTCGCCAAAAAATACTCTAACATTATTAGTCGAGACATCAACATAATTATGCACTCCAGAAAATTCCGTCTGTTTGACAACGGCGCCAGCTGGGTAAAAAAAGAAGAGACAACGACAGTATGTTTGATGTTACAATGGGAAGTTATGACGGAGAAGAAGTATGCGAGCTAGTTGGACTATTTATTCTGAACAATCTATGCGACAAGTACGGAAAGAACAACATAGGACTACACAGAGATGACGGACTCGCAATTCTCAAGAACACAACAGGTTCACAGGCAGAAAGAATAAAGAAGGACATAACGAAACGCTTCAAAGAACACGGTCTGAACATTACCATACAAGCCAACCTGAAAGTAGCAGACTACCTTGACATCACACTTAATCTAGCAAACGGATCATACCGCCCCTACAGAAAACCAAACGACGAGCCACTCTACATCAACACGAAATCCAACCACCCACCTACCATAATTAAACAACTACCCGCAGCCATCAACCGTAGGATATCAGACATCCGTGCAGCAAAGAAGCATTTGACAAAGCTAAGCCCCACTACGAAAAAGCTCTAAAAACATTAGATTCACCGGATTTCCGATTCGGATTTACCGAAAACCTGACATACGCCAGCCGCAACACATCTGCACCCGCAAGAAAGAACAGAAAAAGGAACATAATCTGATTTAACCCTCCATACAGCCAAAACGTCCAAACTAATATCGGCAAAACCTTCCTCAACCTCATCCAGAAGCATTTCCATAAAGAACACAAATCCCACTCTATCTTCAACAAGTACAACGTAAAAGTCAGTTACAGCTGCACGGAAAATATAGCAACCATAATTAACAAGCACAACAAGAAAATAACCAGCGACAACCCCACCCCTCCCAGAACGTATGCAACTGCCGAAAAGAAGAACAATGTCCACTCGACAATAACTGCCTCTCAACCAGCCTAGTCTACAAGGCACGCGTAACTACAGATAAAGACACCACAGAAAAGAACTACATCGGACTTACAGAGGGAACATTTAAACAACGACACACTCAACACAAGCTACCATTTCGAAACAGAAAATACGCTAACAGCACTGAACTCTCAACACACATATGGAAACTCAAAGACGACAAGAGAAATTATACAATCAACTGGTCAATCATCACTTCAGCAAGCCCATACAACAACATCTCCAAAATATGCAATCTCTGTTTAGCAGAAAAACTTCACATCACTAAAGCCGACAAAGCCAGGCTCCTCAACAAAAGGTCTGAACTAATTTCGAAGTGCCGCCACGAGAACAAGTATTACTTAATGCACACGAAAAACACAGGAGAAGCTGGAGAATCCTCAGCGATTTAACATCCGACCCACGCTACCACAGCTGAGCCCGTCGCCTCGACCTACGTGCACGGGCACTGTTGCTAGATCCTCAGTCTCGACCCCAGCGAGAAACGTAACAGCTGCCGTCACCGTTGCCACGGACAACGGCGTCGACAACGGCTTGCTCTCGCGTCTGACGGTGGACGACGGCCGGATCATCCCCGGACAGCGACGCGCGGTAAGCGACGACCACCGCCGCACGTACAGCCACGACAGAGAAAGAGCTGACAGGGAGAGTCACCCACGCGAGGTCGCGGGGACGTGGAAGGAGGTCACGGTACGGCAGCATCCTATCCGCGGCAGCGGCGGCGGCGGCGGCGGAGTGCTGCAGTTAGTTTGCGTCACACGCAACGTTTTCTCGCGAGACACTTTTACGCGCGCGCACAAAAGCCGAACAACAATATACCAGCAGAACAATAGATCGATTTAACTATAGAACCATAGAACTACTGGCTACCGCTGGTTTCCGCAGGCAACCGTACGCGGGCTATAGTTACTAGAGCTATAGAACTACATAACAATAGATAACTAAAACAATAGCGCCATTCATGTATATATAGGTTATAGTATGTATATAAGGTTTATTCTTCATTAAAGTCTGTCTGATGATCGCGCAAGCGTGATACTCGGAGTAACAGCTAAAAGTGATGTCTTGTCTGTAATTTA